CTCTCTCTCTCTCTCGCTCTCTCTCTCTCTCTCTCTCTTTATTTATTTATTTATTTGAGACAGGGTCTTACTATGTAGTTGAGACTGACCTGGAACTCACTAGGTAGCTCAGGCTGGTCTCAAACTAGCAGTGATACTCCTGGCTCAGTCTCCCAAGTGCTAGGATTACAGGCGTGAGCTACCATGCCTGGCCCATTTTTTTCTTTGTAAACATAGTAACAAGGCATTTTTTAAAAAACCTCCATCTACACCTGTCTGCAAGCTAGTTAAGTGTTCTCTCCTTTGGAATAGGCAGCTTTATATTAAGAAGCTGTGCCTTACATATAATGGCTACTCTATTCAGAAGCAAGAAATTTCCTCCCACTTCTACTGACAGATTTCATGTTACCTGTATTTCTGGCATTTTTGTCATAACATATATACTTTCACAACAACCCCAAGCAAAGAGTAAATCTTTGTTTTCATCTTTACTTTGCTTCATTTAAAGTTATGTTAAAATAGTGGAATATTAGACACACTATCTGAAACAATCTCTTGCCCAGGAAGCTGCATGCCTCTCACGTGTGAACCTTACACAATTAAGAGTCTGTCTTACAAGGAAAGTAGGTGCTTAACTTACTATCGAACAAGAGCATTTCAGGGGGTGAGTAGGGCAGTGCTAACAACCATACAAAGTAGGGCTATGGTAAGCAACAGGGGATATCATCATTTTGCCTACAAGGAATTAGTCAAGAGCATCATGTCTGAAAAAAAATAGAATGAATGGAATGAAACTGAAAATATATTATATTTTGTATTCTATGTGTAAGTCAGATTTATTGAGAGTTCTGTCTAAGGTAAAGCCACCCTTACACAAACATTAAGGCAACCTGAGTGAGATGAACAGCTTTAAGAAGCAACATCATAGAGCAGTAAAGTATTGTAAAGCCCGGAGCCGAGTTGCTCAGGTTCTAGTTCTGGCTCTATTGCTTAACAAACAACCAAATAGCTCACAGCCTAAGAGATAGTTACTTAATATTTCTGCACCTAAATATCCCTCACCTACCTTATTTATTTATACAATATCGGTGGTTTTATCATGGAATTTTTTAGTTAATTCATTTGTACAAAGCACCAAAACTCTATGCATGAAAAGTTCCCCCAAATTACTAGATATTGCTACTCCTCAATTGTTGGTTCTTTGGCTATTACTGCTAATACTGAACATAATAGTGATGACAAAAGACTTCTAATTCAGAAGTAACCAAATGCCAGGCACTCTTCTGAGCACTTTCTTATGGATTTCTTATATATGCGTAAATAGCACGAGGAGGAGGGTTCAACACAATTATTCTGTGCAATTCACAATATAGGTAAGGCAGATTTTGGTAACTTGCCTAAGGTAGGCAGAAACTCCAAGGAAGGGCCAAGAAGTGAATCCTAGCCTGACCTCAGAGCCCTGTTCTTAATCAAACCTTATTACCTGTAAGAAATCAACTGAGCAAAAAAAATACATAAGACATTTTCCCTTTACCACAAATGCCCCACTGTATTTGGAACCCATCTACACAATCCTTTAAAGATGCAGATCTTGTTCGTGTCTAACTTGTTTTTAAGAGAGACTGAAATATTACCTAAGAAGGAAAACTACATTAATGTTATGATTCAGTGTGTTGGCATCAGTATGTAAAGGACAATGGACACAATCCAACCTATCAGAAGTCTTAACCGTACCAAGGTAATCTTTTGATGCATACTACCATTTAATGATCAATGGACTTCATACATATATGTTGTAAAGTTCTTTCTAAAACAAAGTTGTGCTGGATATTTAGCTCAGTGGTGTCGGTGCCTGCTTTGCAAGCGCAAAGTCCTGAGTTCAATCCCCAGTACCAAAAAATAAAAAAGTAAGTAAGTAAATAAATAAATAAAACAAAGTTGTAAACCAGAAATAGCTTTGTGAACACTTAATAAAATTTACTGATTTTTAAGTTTCTTCAACTTTTTAACTTTGTAATTTACTCATTAATTTATTTTTTGTAAAAAAAAAAAACCAAAAAGACAAAAAAACCAATTTACTTTCCAGTTTCAGTGTTGAACCTAAGACCACACACATGACAGGCAAATGCTCTACCACTAAGCTACACCCCCACCCCTCATTATTTTGAGATAAGAGTCTCACTAAATTGCCCAAGCTGACCTCAAATTTGCAATCTTCAGCCTCCTAAGTAGCTGGAATACAGGTGTGTGTCACTGTACCCCCCTGGTAAAGAACAATTTCATCTACCAACTAAATCTTAATAAAGGCGGATGAATGACGAAAAAAATACAAGGCTAGGAAAGACCAGGAGAAAAAGCTTAAATTATTCCAATAGATTATAAGATCTACTTGTTACCCACTAAAATAATATTAAGTTGAAAAAATGATCTTTCCCTATATAAACTAGCTTTACAATAACTATTTTATCAAAAACCCACTTTATACAAGACATGAAATATCAACCTTATTTTCATGGTTAACTGAGACCATAAACTCTGGAATAAAATGATCAGAATTTGCAAGTTGACCTTCACTTTTGACCTGGGTCCCTTTGAATTAATTAACCTCTTTATAAAGGCTAATGTTCTGACCTATAAAATGGGAATAACAGCACTCAATTCGCAAGAAAAGGAGAATTATATTAGATAAAGCAAAAAAGGTTATTAACACAGTCATGGGGCACAAGCAATTCTTGATAAATGGTGGTGTCCATGTGAATTTATAAATAAACCATTTGCTGCACATATTAAAATCTTCCAGGGATGAGGAAAATAGAACTCAGAGAAGTTAAATAATAAATCAAGTTTGTGTAGCTAGTCAACAGCTCATCCAGGATGTAAGTCCTGGTGTGACCTAAATTAGTTTCTGTGCTGCTTCTGTGGACTTTATCTCCTTTAAAGTAGATGACTTTTTAAGGAATTAATGGCAATGGCATTAAAAATAACTAAAGCTGATTAACTTAAGAGCCAATCAGGTCTGCTTGTGTTCTGATGGGGGGTGTGGGGTCTGGAGTGGCCCTGTGCAGTAGGTAAGTGTTTCATTATAAGGTTCCATACAGACTAAAGAGTCAATGCAGGTATTTACTCACAGTAAATGTTAGCTGCTGTTAGGCACTGGATGCTGCCATAATAAATATGAATTCCAATACTAGTTCATCAGTGTAAACATACAGTACATGTATTAAATAAGTGTACAATAAAGATCATCATGAAATTAGTTCTTTTTATATTCTTCATCTTGACAAATAGGAAAACTATTGGTAAATATAAACAAAGGAGGCAAAACAGTTAAATTAAAAGTTTTATATCCTACATTGTTTTGTATTTCTATGTTTATCTACACAGCATCCAATTGCTTATATAATAAACAAACCTTACCTGAATAGAATACATTATAATTTTAAAGCAATGAACTGCAAATTCATTAGGATCCCACAGTTTGTGATGATCTAAATGCCTGTAAATAACAAGTAAAAATAATTTTAAGAACTCCCCATGATACTTTCTTCCTTTAGAATCACCAGTAAAACAAAAAAATCACCAATAATATTAAAGCTTAACAGAAAATTATCTAAAACCAAGGTTTCAATGTCTAAAAATAATATAGGTTTTCCCTAACTGCCAAAGCCTGTCATAAAACAGCAAAACACTCAACTATATACAAGACTATAAATAAATTCATGGATGAAGTGGAAGAAAGGAGGAAAGCCCCTCATCCAACTCCACTGTGGCTGGTGTGTGGGGAGAGACATGCATGGGGAGCCAGCAGCAGTGTGGCCAGGTCTGCCTATTCCCAGGGCCCTCAGGGTCACAGACACAGAGGGGAGAGACAAAGCTTAGGGCATGGACACCAAGAAAGAAAAGCCCCAAGGTTTCCAGGCTTTCTATAGCACCTCAGCCACCAAGATCTACAGCTACCAAGATCTATGGGTCTGGAGGCCTCAAACTTTGCACACAGCAAGCACTGCAGGAATTTATAAGTGCTCTATGTCATGAGAACCATTATCCTACATGACAGACACAATTTACTATTTATAACACCTTTCCGAGCAACTTAGGGAGATTCACTGATTGAGGGCTCACTGATACAGAGCAAGGATCAGAAGATAGAGCTACAAAATAAATTGGTGGAGATGGCTGAAAAACACTTTTCTGACTTAACCAATTCTAAAAAACTGACCACACGTTATACCCAGTTTGAACAAAAATATTTTAATTCCTTATAGCTATTTCCTAACCCTTCCTGTTCAGAATTCTAATAAAGTAATGTACTAACATACTGACCTGACCCTATCCTATATAGCTCCATCTGATCAACATTTTCTAAGGGCAATTCTGGCCTTTTCACAATTTGGAGATAAGATCTCCATTAACTAGGCACAGACTATTAAATATAAAATATTAAGATTTCTAAGAATGTAATCTAAACTCTCTTATCTGATTTTAACTGCTTGACTATACAAAAACTCTAGCCAACGTTATCAGTGTTTTGGGCTTGCTGTTGATTAGAACTGTGATATTTAAAATGTCTATTGAATCACTTATATTCTTTACTAGGTTAAGTAACAGTTAAAAAGCCTACTTCAATGGTGAACAAAAATGCTATATAAACAACATCTCCACAGTAGAGTTTTTTTGTGAATTGAACCCAGGGCTTTTCCACTGAACTTCATTCCTCCCCTTTTTTAAAAACATTTTTATTTTGAGACAGAGTCTTAGTAAAATGATAAAGTGCCAACTAGATTCAAACTTGAGAAATTCCTGCCTCAACCTCCCAGCATGCTGGAATTTACAGGTGTGTGTCACCACACCCAGCTCAACAATTTTTGATACCTACTTCCATCTACTTCAAAAAGATACCACCTGCAAATTCTCAAATGTGATATGAATTCTTTGTTTTTAACTACCAGATCTTTTTTGCCTTTTCTTATAATCTGTATCATTACTGTGTATGTTAATCATCCATCAAATTTGTTATTATTTACTGTATACCTGGTATCTTAAGTAATGGAGGGCATTTAGAATTTAATTAACTACATAGTTAATATATAATTGCATAATATTTAATTAACACCAAATTTAATTACTATACAATCAGGATTTATGTTCAGTAAAGTTATACATAGAAAAGAATACTGCCCATTTCAATTAAACTCAAGCAGAGTTACTCTGGTTATCTTCCAGGATAGCCCTCTAGATTTTTGAGACCTCCGATTACCTCTCAATAAGAGTTTAAAGATAAAAATAAATTCTGATATTAAATTAGTATATTTTGACATTAAACAATAAACCTGCCTTCAATATATTAATGCAATTTGGGTTATTTTTAGAGTTAGTTCCACAAGCCCTTGAGGGACTTTAAATAAAAGAGCTCAACATAGGGCAGAGAGACAGAAGGGATCATAAAATTTTGTGGTGGGCCGGGAATTTAGCTCAGTGGTTCTGTTGCTTGCCTCTCAAATGCAAGGACCTGAGTTAGATCCCTGGTACCAAAACAAAACAAAACAATTTTTGTGGTGTATAGATTCTAGTGCTTAATGTTCAACTTTGAGCTCTAAAGTAAAAACATCCATCCTACATAGAGAATTTCAGATGTTGATATTCAGAATGTTATATATGCTAAATCCATTACTGTAGTCTGAAGGGAGAAAAGAGATGGTGAATTTTAATAAAAGAAGAAATAGCAAAAAGGTCCAGAAACTGCACTTAATTGTGTACAATAGATCTATCACCTGATAATTTAGAAACACAAGGCTTGACAGAGTTTGAGAGAGAATATTTATACGAAGAAACCGAAAGCTTATAAATGTATTTCACAAGAGGAGAGAATGTAAGGACCAATGAGATATTTAATGCTATGATTCTAATTATTCTCTGGGTAAGACGAAATTTACTCAGAGAAATGAGCATGATCTAAAGCACCCACCACATAAAAAAGAAAGCCAAGAAACAGAAACTGGGAAATAGAACTGATCACAGAAGTTTGTAAAACAAGACACTTGGGCACCATTCTAATATTTTAATGCACGTACACATTTAAGGGTCTGTACGGAGATATTCAAGTTAAATGATGTACATAATATTAGACACAATATTTTATATTTGAAGGAAAAAAAAAACTAGTCAATTGACCGATTTATTAGGCTCTGATTTATGATGCCTAACCTACTCATGAGTTGCTTTCACAATGTTAGGCTATTCCCGATAGTAAGTAACCTGCTTGTACAAGAAAAAACTTATTTGTCCTCTGTAAGAATATAAACATAGATTTAATATATCAAAGTCAAATAACCAGAAAAACACCAATGGCTTACGCAAAAACTGGTCTAACAGCATTATTCATGTTCCCAAAAGTAGCTCGACCTAGCAGTTCTCTGAAACAGTTCTCAGCCAGCACAGAGGGATTCTCTTCTTTGTCAGCTGTAGAAGGAGAAGAAGGAGGGCCGATGCGACTGAAAAAGAGAAATAAAACTAATTTAAGAATTTTAATATTAGATCCAATGTAACACAGATTTTATTTCTCAGAAATGTTAAAATGACATTTTTTATCCTCAAATAACTTTACAACTTAGTTTCAACTTAATAAAATTTAATAAATTTAAAAGTTAACCAAAGGGCCAGGGACTTAGCTCAGTAGTGCCACTGCCTGCTCACAAGTGCAAGGACCGGAGTTCAATCCCCAGTACCAAAAAAAAAAA